GACCGGTGGAGGAACCATTCCTCTGCGTCAGGGGGCGGCCTGCGGGTGCTCCTGAGTGTTTCGGGGTCGGTCTGAGGTCCTGGTGCTGGCGGAGGCTTTTGGCCTCTGGCGCTGCTGGCCGCTCGGTTCCGTTCGCGGGGGCCGCTAATCGAGCCCCCGGCTTCGTTTGCGGCCTTCTCGGAGGCTGAGGCCGCCATCTTTGGTGTGGGCGCGTGCGCCCTCGGCCTGACGTCACTTCCGGTGTGCCGCTTCTGGGTCCCTTTACTTGCGCGTCACCCGGCCGGATCGGTCTTTCACGCCGGGACGCGTCGGGTGAGGACGCACTGGGACACTGGGAGTTCAGGTGATGTAGGAGGGTCATCTGCCTGCAGGTCTGTTGCTAGTGGCAACTGCGGCAAAAGGCCTAGGGGCGGTGTCTGCTGGGGTCTCCCTACTTGCCTGGGGCTCTGGTTTGGCATATATTTGCCGGGGACATGGATTGTGGGGACAAACTGACCGCAGTGCCCTGTGAGGGCTGCGGCCTCTCTTCAGGGACCTCTCCCACATCCCCCCCTTTGCGCAGCCTGTGCTTCTGCGCCCCTCTCCCAGTCTCCCTTGGTGTCTGCAGGGTCTTTGGGGGGGTCCGCTGGCGCAATGTTATCCTTGGAGGCTTTTTCCTCCACCATGGACAGTTTTTTGTGTCCTGTATGGAGCGCGCGCTGTCGCAGCGCCCCCCACGGAAGCGCGCTTTGCCGGCCCCCTCACCGGTCCTTTCTGGGGATTCTGAGGAAGAGGGGGAAATTTCTGCTGCGGCCGCGCAGCACGACCAGGGGGACTCCTCTCAGGCGGAGTCTGGTAGTGACGACGAGTCGGGAACCGCCCTTATGGTCCAGGAGCGTGAATTGGTCACTGCCTTGGTTCGTGGATCCGCCGGTTTCTCGCCTGAACAAGGCTACGGTCATCCCGGTGGAGGATTCGCCTTCCTTTCGGGATCCCTCGGATAGGGAGGCGGTGGCGCGTACTATGTACTCGGTTTCCGGGGCTCTGCTGCGCCCCGTGTTGGCTTCGGCCCTGGTCTCCCAGACTTTGACTGAGTGGATGAAGATGCTGCGTCAGGGTCTTGCGGAGGAGAACGTGTCTCCTGCTTATGTCGATCTGACGGAGCAGGTGGTGCAGGGTCTGCAATACTTGTGTAATTCGGCCCTGGATGCGGCCCCGTTGGTTTCGAAGCTATCTGTGTCGGCGGTTACTCTTCGGCGCCTCCTCTGGCTTAAATGCTGGTCGGCTGACCAGGCTTCCAAGAAGGCTCTGACGGAGCTCCCCTTTACGGGGGAGCGTCTGTTCGGGGCTACCTTGGATGAGATCATTAAGGATCTGACAGGCGGTAAGAGTACCTTCCTGCCTCAGTCGAAAAAGCCCAGGGACCAGCGGCGGAAGCCTGGTCCTTTTTCCGCTCACAAGCGGCTTTTTTGTCCGTCATGGCCGCAGCCCAGGAATGCCAAGCCCCAGGGTAAGCCCCCCTCGGCATGAAGACCTGCCCCCATCCCGGGATTCCAGGGTGGGGGGACGTCTTCGGCTCTTTGCGGGCCGCTGGCTGTCCCGCGTCTCCGACACCTGGGTGCGGGAATTGGTGTCCTTGGGCTACAAAATCGAGTTTCTGTCGCGTCCCGAGGAAAAGTTTTTTTTTCCCTTCCAACATCCGTCTCCCTCCACAGCGCCTGGCGGACCTTCATGGCGCGGTGGCGGGTCTTTTGTCCCAAGGGGTGGTGATTCCGGTTCCCTCCTCGGAGAGGTTCAGAGGATTTTACTCAAACCTGTTCACGGTGCCAAAGAAGGATGGGGTTCGTCCCATCCTGGACCTCAAGCGGTTGAACGTCTTTGTGCGCGTTCGCCGGTTCCGGATGGAATCGATCCGCTCTGTGGTGGCGTGTCTTCACCAGGGGGATTTCATGGCCTCCCTCGACATCAAGGATGCCTACCTTCACGTTCCTGTTTGTACCTCCCACCAACGCAACCTTCGCTTTGTGGTGGGGGACGACCATTACCAGTTTGTCGCTCTGCCCTTCGGTCTGGCGTCGGCACCTCGGGTGTTCACCAAGGTGTTGGCCCCGATCTTGGCCCTGTTGCGTTTGTCGGGGGATCTCAGTGGTAGGGTACCTGGACGACCTGCTGAAGGCGGAGTCTCATTCCTCTCTGGTGGCGGATCTGGCGATCGCCGTACGGTCATTGGAGGAGTTCGGCTGGCTCCTGAACTTCCAGAAGTCTTGCCTGGTACCGACCACTCGGTTGGAGTATCTGGGGTTGATTCTGGACTCCACCTCGGCGCGGGTTTTTCTACCCCCCGAGAAGCTTCTGAAGCTTCGCTCGCATGTGGCGCTACTGCAGACACGTCGATGGTCAACGATCCGGTCTTGCATGCAGGTCCTGGGCCTCATGGTGGCTTCCTTCGAAGCGGTGTCTTACGCTCAGTATCACACGCGGGTTCTGCAGAGGACCATCTTGTCGCTGTGGGACAAGTCCCCCTTGTCGCTGGACCAGGCGGTTTAGTTGTCTCGGGGGGCGAGGGCCTCCCTGGTCTGGTGGCTTCGGTCTCCGTCCCTGGTGTTGGGCAAGTCCTTCCTTCCCATTCACTGGTCGCTGGTCACCCACGGATGCCAGCCTGTTGGGCTGGGGTGGAGTCTCAATCGGCGGGTCGATCGGTTCGTGGCCAGGACCCAGGATGCTTGGGCGGATGTGGTGGACGCCCTGGTGGCGCCGTGGGATTGCTACGGTCTGATTTACGCATTCCCTCCACTGTATCTGTTGAGTCTTCTTCGCAGGGTCACGGAAGGCGTCCCGGTCATCCTCGTGGCTCCGGATTGGCCGAGGAGGGTGTGGTACGCAGATGTGGTTCGGTTAGTGGCGGATGTCCCCTGGCGTCTGCTGCTCAGTCCAGATCTTCTGTCTCGGGGTCCGGTGTTCCATCGGTCTTTACCGTTGTTGGCTTGACGGCGTGGCTATTGAGAGCCAGGTGTTGAGGGATCGTGGTCTCTCGGATGCGGTTATCTCTACGATGTTGCGGGCTCGCAAGCCTGTGTCACGACGGATTTACCATCGAACGTGGAAGGCTTATTTTGCCTGGTGTGAGTCGGTGGGATTTCCGCCTCGTTTGTTTTCCGTTGCCAGGATCCTCGCCTTTTTACAGCGGGATGTGGATCAGGGTTTGGCCTTGAGTACGATCAAGGGCCAGATTTCGGCCTTGACTGTCCTTTTTCAACGGCCGATAGCTTCCAACGCCTTCGTTCGCACTTTTGTGCAGGGGGTCACGCGTATCGTTCCCCCTGTTCGCTCCCCGTTGCCGCCGTGGGATTTGAATCTGGTGCTCTGTGTTGCAGGAATCTCCCTTTGAGCCTCTGCGTGACATTCCGATTCTGACTCTCTCAAAAAGTGGCCTTTTTGGTGGCGGTCACCTCTATCCGCAGGGTTTCGGAATTGGCGGCTCTCTTGCTCGTCCCCGTTGCTGGTGGTGCATCGGGACAAGGTGGTTCTGCGGCCGTCTTTCTTGCCGAAGGTAGTTTCGGCTTTCCATCTCAATGAGGACATTGTCCTGCCTTCCTTGTGTCCAAAGCCTGTCCACAGGAAGGAGAAGGCGCTGCACTGTCTGGACGTGGTCCGCGCCATCCGGGTTTATTTAAGTGCTACGGCTGCGTTTCGGGAATCTGATTCCCTGTTTGTCGTTGCAGATGGCCCCCGGAAGTGCCATCCGGGTTTATTTAAGTGCTACGGCTGCGTTTCGGGAATCTGATTCCCTGTTTGCCGTTGCAGATGGCCCCCGGAAGGGCCAGGCTGCCTCGTCGGCTACCATCTCTCGATGGATTCGCGACACTGTCTCTCAGGCGTATGCTATTAAGGGGCGTGAGCCTCTTTCTGTTACGGCCCATTCTACAAGGGCTGTTGGGGCATCTTGGGCTTTTCGTCATGGTGCCTCCGTTTCTCAGGTTTGTAAGGCCGCGACTTGGTCTTCTGTTCACACCTTTGCCAAGTTTTAGAAGGTGGATGTTTTGGCATCTGCGGATGCTGGTTTGGAGCACAGTAATCCCACGGTCATTGAACCAGGTTTTGGTGCTTTTGGCAGTGTGGGCAGGTGCCAAGTCCTGCTGGAAAATGAAGTCAGCATCCCCATAGAGCTCGTCTGCGGAAGGAAGCAGCCCCTCTCCGCTTTGATACATCACTTTGGGAACATCCAACTTCTTTTGCAATTACCTTTTTTGAGGCTTTCCCTCCTTTTATGGAGGGTGTCAATGATGGTTTTCTGCACAACTGTCAGGTCAGCAGTCTTTCCCATGATTGTGATTCCTACTGAACCAGACTGAGACCATTTAAAGGCTCAGGAACCCTTTGCAGGTGTTACGGCTTAATTAGCTGATTAGAGTGGGACACTTTGAGCCTAGAATATTGCACCTTTTAACAATATTCTAATTTTCTGAGATTGTGGATTTGGGGTTTTCAAGAGCTGTAAGCCATAATCATCACAATTATGACAAATCACGGCTTGAACTATCTTGCTTTGCATGTAATGAGTCTATCTCAGATATTAGTTTCACCTTTTAGTTGCATTAGTGAAATAAATGAACTTTTGCACGATATTCTAATTCGAGTTTCACCTGTATATCGACAAAAACCTCCAATATAGCCCTCTAGTACTAGGAGATGCCCGGGGACAAAAAAATATGTAAAACATTATTAATATTGCATATAATTTACTACTTGGGAGAGGAGAGAGACTGACAAGTCGCAACTCTCTGCAGGGAGAGGATCGGAAAATAAATCGGCTATGTGTGTTCGCTGACTTCCCAATCAATAGAGCCAACCTGTGGCCGCTTCACTGTCACAGGACGGCTTGAATTATGGGGATGAGCGTTTGTCACTCACCCCATAATTTTCCTTTTAAGGCTAAAGGAGTATACAAGTGTACAGTAATGTGGGTGTGCCAATTACACACCTAATTTGACAGGAAAATTACTACACCTCTAAATGCTAAGACTTAAAATGTGGTAATCTAATGCATTTTAAAATCTGCAAAATGTGGCTACACAAACCTTTTCTATTTTCCATTTAGGGTGACTTTAAAGCGCAGAAAGAAGTGATTTGGGCAGTGACAAATTACACAAGTGGAGGCACTGTAGAGCAAGTTGTACAGCTGGTCCATTGTGGGGTGCTGGAACCACTGCTTTGTCTCCTTACTGTCAAGGACAGTAAAACAATACTGGTTATCCTAGATGCTCTTTCTAATATATTTCTGGTAAGTTTCCATTAGCTAAGTATATTCAAAAAGAAATGTAGTGTCTTTGCATGTAGATTTCTGATTGGGGTAAATTTATAAAATATTGGATCGGAGTTTCCGTACTGAGAACTTGCAGCCAGGTGATGAGTGCAATTCTGTAATGTGTTGTGACAAGAAAAGGTAAACGCACTGAAAGACTTCCACTGACTGTGTATGTAGCCAAATCCATAAACTTAATGTGACACATGCCTTAAACTGAACACAATGCAAAATCCAAACTGATCTAGTAAGGACCTGAAACACAAACCAGTTTTGCAACATGAATCCATGAATAATTTTAAACATTGCTGAAGTTCACAAATTATAAATCTGTTTTTAAATGCCAAGTGTTTCCTTTCCTAGCAGAATTGAACATCTCAGAGAAACCTTTTTCTTATTGCCCTTTCTTCCCATGTTTTGCCTATTTACTTCTCCCCCTTCCTCCACAGCTGCCTTTTTTTTAATCTGCACCCTCTGTTTAGAATTTCAAAAGATGCACCCCAAGTCTGCACAGTGCATGTTTGGGACTTGACCTGCAGCTAGTCAATAGTGGGAGGGGGCTGTACAATAGAAGGTGAAATAAAAGGCAGAATAAAGGGAGGCCATAATTCAAAGTGGGTAACTATGGCAAGAGTACGTGGTGTGGGGCAGTAAAAGCACTCTGTGGGTACACTCACTTTGTGCAATGGCACTTGTATTGGTTTTAGTCGTTTTATCTTTAAGTACCTGAATTAGTGTTGGGAGCCATGGTCATGTCTTTCGACTCCATACTCAGACCTTGGATACACAGTACATTTTCCCTGGTGCCAACACTGTTATAAGGGTATTGGTTCCTCAAATGTATTGGTGTAAAAGGGGTTCTGTTTTTTTCTTGTCTATCATTTTTATGACCCTCTGTGGGTGTGGTGGGGCAGCCTGCCCTTTAACTCTTTGACCTGCTGAATTCAGGGATCATGGCTACGTTTTAACTTTGGATCTTAATGCACAGGGTCTCAAACCCAGGAGACTGCAAGTACTGTAATATTTGCTTATGCACATGATACATCTTCTGTTTCTTTAGGAAACTCAGCTGAAGGTCTGCTGGCTCCCCTCCCTAGGTCCTGCCACTA